TGAGGTGGCACATGCTTGTAATCCCAGTAACTGTGGCAGAAGGATCATGAGTTCAAAGTTAGCCTCAACAACTTGGTGAGACCCTGTCTCAAAATAAAAAGGGCTGGGGATGTGGTGAAGTGCACCTGGGTTGTGCACTTGGGTTCAGTTTACGGGTTAAAATATATATATATAGGAAGGATTAAAATAAATATACACTGTGCACTTAATGTGCAGTAAGCATTACGTGACAGTAATAGTCATCGTGTTTCCTTTCTGAATTTATTATTTAATTTCTTAATTGTTTTTTTTTATTACTTATTGTTTATTTTACTTTGTTATAATTTCATACTTGCCCAGTCTCTCTCTTCTCCCTCAAAGGAACTGGAATAGTACTAATACTTAAATAGCAAAACTATGTGCTTGTGCACTATTTATCAATATTTCACTTAATCTTCAAAACAACACTATGAGGTAAGTTCATTTTTTAATCCCCATTTTGTAGCTAAAGAAACTGGGGCACAGAAAATATAGGTGATCAACTCATGTTCACACAATCAATTGTAAGTGTCTGGGCTTTTTAAATTCAGGTTGAGATTTGATTAGATCATTGTTAATCTTAGCTCCAGGAGTCTATACTTGCAACTCCTGCTTCTATTGGCTCAGTTAACTTATCATTGTGGGATTAAGAAAATTCCACAAGACCATTTGTGAAAAAGGAAGTATTTTATCAATGTTTCTAGTGATTTATATAATATTTTGATTGCAGATGAAACAGAATTTAGAAACTTTATTGTTTGGCTTGAAGACCAGAAAATCAGACACTACAAGATTGAAGACAGAGGTAATTTAAGAAACATCCACAGCAGTGACTGGCCCAAGTTTTTTGAAAAGGTAAGGAATTAGGAAGTAAAATAAACATACAGAGAGCTTTTCTAAACTATATGAAGGTGACCTTAGAATTACTTTTTCTTTTTTTTTGGCACTGGGGATTGAACTTGGGCACTCAATCATTGAGCCACATACCCAGCCTGTTTTATATTTTATTTAGAGACAGGGTCTCACTGAGTTGCTTAGGGCCTTGATAAGTTGCTGAGGCTGGCTTTAAATTCACTATCTTCCTGCCTCAGCCTTCTGAGCTGCTGGGATTACAGGTGTACACGCTACTGTGCCAAAGCTTATTTTGCTCTTTAAAGATATAATAATGATAAGTGTTAGAAAAGCAGATTTCAAGGGTTTAGCTTTTTTTCTTACCATGTTTCTTTTGATTTTAGTGCAAATTCTACTCCTACCAAGCTTGAGTATTGATAATTTGGGGCAGGGATGGTGGGGGCAGGTGGCCTTGGGATCTTGACAATCTTATGAATGAGGTAGAAATAGTTTCTTCAGAAATGTTGTGAAGTTTCTTAAATAGTGGAATATATTCTTTAAATGTAAATATATTCACTTAGTGGCCAATATCAATTTTAACATTGGACAAAAATAAATAAATAAATAAAATGCAGCAATGGTACACTTTTAGTAGTCTTTCTTTCTTTTTATTTTACTTTATTTTATTTTATTTTTTGTACCAGGAATTGAACCCAGGGGCAGTTAATCACTGAACCATATCTCCATATTCCCAGCTCTTTTTAAATTTTATTGAGACAGGGTCTTGCTGAGTTTCTTAAGGCCTCGCTAAATTGCTGAGGCTAGCTTTGAACTCACAATTCTCTTGCCTCAGCTTCCGGAGCCACTGGATATTTCTTATATTAAAAGACATTGGCATGCTCGAAAATTAGACTATGTTATATTTATGCTTATATTTAATGTTCTGTGTATGATAGAAAATCCTGTATATGATAGAAGCAGCCTATAAATATCTATGTTCACATCATATTTTTGTGACTAGAATAAAGTTTCCCATTGACTTAATTTTATAATATTTTTGTAGAAAAATTTGTTTTCAAATTAAGTAAAAGTCACATTTTACAGTGTCATTATTTACATTAAACATTTCATCAGCTGTATTACTTAAATGAGTAAGGGCACCCGTTCTCCCTAGAATCAACCAGTAATTTTATGAATTAGGGAATTCTATAAGTTATACACCAGTATTATCCCCTTGGGCAAGTTTATGAACCTTTCCATCTCAATTTTAAGTAATGGGCATTACAGTGGTACCTATTCCATAGGGGTGGCTTTGTAGTAGTGATAGACCTATGTACCTATTTACAGAAGTGCCTGGCCAATAGCAGGTACTGTATAATTATTATTGTCACTGTCTTTACTTCTACTGGATTATTTTCCTTTACCCTTAAAAATATTTAAAACAATTCTAATGGGCTTGTTAAGACTTTGAAATACATTGTTAGGATTTTGCATTTGTTTATTTTACCTTTTATGGCCCATTCACATGTATAAAACAATACACATGTAAAGGGGTATTTGAAGAATAAAAACTTTCCTGATATAAAGCACACAAATGAGATAAAGTAGAATAACTGGAAGATAAGTATATCAGAACTTACCCAATAGATGATCATAGAGTTTGTCTCATGGGAATGTTAATGTCATTGTATAAAATATATATAAAAATGTTTCTTTCTAATTATAGGCACGTGCCTGTGTCTGAGACCTTTTGCTCATTTTTAAATCATGAGTTGAATCTTTTAAATGTTTTCAGTATTGACTATTTGGGGAGGGGGCCATGACAAAATATTGTGAAGGAGGTGATTATTTTTTTAAATAAAGGAACAAAATTTGAGGGTAGAAAATAAGTTATGATTAAACATAATAATTCATTAGTTATTCCTGAAAGGATTTCCAAAGGGGCAGAAGTTTAGTAGCATTGTTGCTAGA